CCGGGGAGGGGGCAAAAATGAGCGAGACGAGAAGAGAAGAAGAGGAGGAAGAAGAAGAAGAAGCCTCGCGGAAGCGAAGAGAGGAAGAGGCGGAGGAAAAGAAAAGAAAAGCCCTAGAAGGCTGGCCGGCGATGCTGCTTGTCTGCGAACCGGGTCCCTGGAGGATGATTCCGATCGTCCTAAGTATTATCATATAAAAGTCGAAAGGGAAATGTCTATCTGTGACGCTGGGGGTGTTCGCATGTGAGCGAGCCCAGTAGGACAGAAAGAAGCTTGCTGGAAGAACAGACAGGCCTTGGTCACCGGTACATGGCTGGCAGCGCAGTGGATGTGCCTGGGGCCGGAGTACCAGCTACCGCAAACTGATACTCTTGGTACATCAGACCAAGATACATTGCGGTGGCAGCCATGACGATGATGGCCAACAGGCATAAACGGTGAAACAGCCCTCCTCTTGTGCTGAGCCGGTGGAGCATGCTAAGCGGACCCGTCGAGGAGCCATTGTCCAAGGAGAAGAGGAGGAAGACGAGGAGGGAGTCTCCTTTGCCTTCCACAAGCGCAGAGGGTGCGAGAATCGTGAAACCGCTTGTCCAGCAGACAGAATCGGTCAGTCCAGTACTCTGCAGTGTCCATCGAGTTCCCGCGGCATCATATTACGAGCGACAGCTCATAACATAGATGGGTGCATACGTAGGCCTCGTAGTCGGGGAGCATGGGGTAGATGCCAATCCCTCCCTCCGCTGGCCTCCTGGATCACCGTCGAGCCGTCCTTAGTCAGAGATGGTGTCGGCCCATACCGAGAGCCAGTGCATACATACTCTGTAGACGAGCATCATGAATCTCTCACGGTATATTCGTGGCGAGAGAAACAGGCGTTGATATTGGGTTCCGGCGGGCCAAGGGTTGAAACTAGGGGTTGGCTTCAGCAAAGTTGATAGTTGATAGGCCTGCTTTTTTGCTCTGGTTCGGCGATTTCAGGCTGTAACGCATGTAAGCAATGCATAAGAAGCTGCTGCATGCTCTTCCTTTGCTGTTCGAGCTGTATCAGACGCTGCCGTCGCCGTCGTGAGGCTGCAGAGACTGCCATTATCAATTGTTATATTTGGTAGGCCTCCGTCTGCACCGCACGCGGGCCTGCATGGTCTGAAGACACTAATATCAACCGCCGCTCACTCATGTCTATTCCGTGTTGCCCTAGTCTATCGTTGCCCTAGTCTATCGTGATGTCTCCCGGTCTATCGTGATGTCTCCTGGTCTGGCGGAGGTTGAGATGGAGTCATCGTCCTCCCAGGCAGCACCGGCAGCCAGCACGCCGCGTACGACAGGGCGGACGGAGTAACCAGCCTGTCCTGCTCCCTGCCGGCCGCCCTGTAACATCCCCGTGTAGCCTCTGCGTCTTCTTTATGCACGATCCCATGCTCTCTGGCGCTGCTGTCTGCCGTGTGAGTGTATGCGGACTGCCCATCTCTGCCTGCCGGCGACCAGCACCCTCGTCTGAGCCACCGAGCAGCGGCCAGCAGGCGTAGCGACGGCCCTCCTGCATAATCAATCCCAAGCGTCTCCATCAATGGCTGGCTATTTATGGCGGATGGCCGGGGGAGGGTGTTTGTTGGCTCTATATCAAAGAACCAGCAGCCACTCCCTCCTCCCCAGATGCCGCAGCAACACCGTAGACCATCCCATTCCCGTCCTCATCTCTCTGTATTTCTTTATATATATATCTTCGTCTTGCTCTCGTGTCCGCCAGCCGCGATGCCGATGCTCGAGATGCCAAATACGAGGCGCTTCTGGTCTCTCGCTGAGCCGCCGACCAAGGCTCACCAGCGCCCGCGCCTCTTCTCTGCCTCAAGCCGGCCGTCTGAATCTCCATCCTCGCCTGCTGCTCCTCTGCTAGTCCAGGGCTGCTGCTCGTTTCTGCTGCGGGTGCTTCCTTGCTCCAGAAAATTCCCACCGGCGGCCTCCTTGCGCCTCCACCGTCGCCGTCGCCGTCAACTATCGCCAAAACGAAACAACCTCCTGGCTGCGTCTTTCTCCCTCCAGCCGGCCATGGACGGCGGCCTCGACACTCGCTCCCGTTGCAGCCCCAGACTCAGACTCAGATTCAGACTCAGACTCAGACTCAGACTCAGACTCAGACGCCGCTGACCGACTCTCTCGCTCCCTCGCTCGCATCCTTCGCGGCCAGATCGAACCAATGTCCCAGCGGCGCCGCTGTCTCTGGTGTGGCCATGATCACACAGCGTGGCTCCGGGAGGCCCTCTGCAGACACCCGCACGGCTAGCCAGGCGGCGGCGGCATCTCCATCTCCTTCTCCATCCCCTTCTCCAGCGTCGTCGGCTTCCTCTGCGTCCTCGCCGTCGCTGGCTCCCGCCGTGCGGAAGGCTGCCTCGTCCTCCCCTCCCGTCCGCCAGCGCCTTCGACCCCCCCGACACCTCCAGCACCAGCACCAGCACCAGCACCAGCACCAGCACCAGCATCGCCAGAATCGCCCGCCAGCTGCCCTGCGGAAGGCCTCCTATGCGGCCTCGTTCACGGAGTCTCCTACGCAGCTACAGCCCGCAGACGGGGCGGACCATGTCTGGTCTCGCAGCGGCTCGCCTGCTGCTACAGCTCCAGCTTCAGGTTCGGCCTCAGGAGGACAGCTCCAGCCATACCACCAGCAGCCATACCACCAGCAGCAGCAGCAGCAGCATCATCACCAGCAGCGCTTCTACCAGCGGCCCTACTCGCCCCAGCCGCGACTGAAGCCGTCTCCATCCATGCCCAATGTCCGGCAGAAGAGCTACTCGCCGTTTCAGGCGGACAAGCCCTCCCCCAGATCGTCTCCCATCGCCCTCTCGCCAAGTCGGCCAAACCACCACCGCTACTACACGCCGGAGCTGCACTTTGATATCCCGCCGCCCGCGCGGACCAGCCTGCAGTCCGCCATGACCGTGGCCTCCAGCGTGGAGCAGACCAGCGGCACGGAGAGGAGCAGCGTCGTCACCAAGACCAGCTCGACCACGGAGCTGTCGCCCAAGATCTCAGAAGAGGAGGCCCAGGGGGGGAAACACGGAGACCACCAGTTGCACCAGCAGCAGCAGAGCCAGGCGGACCAGGGTACACTCGGCTATGGCGATATGAGCGTCGACGATGCCATAGACATGTACCTGGACGGCTTCGCTGACGACCCGGCTCCCAGCTCGCCTACAAAGAGGAAGTCCGCTGCTCTCGTCCGGGCCCTGCTCAGCACCGATGCCAGCGAGGATACTTATACTACTACTAAACCCGCCAGCACGCCCCCAGACACCCCCGAGCCAGAGTCACTGACGCCGGGCAACTTCAACTCCGCCGACTTCGACTTCAACTTCAACTTTGCTCCTAGCCAGTCTGCTGGTGATAAAAGCCCTTCACCGCGGCCCCAGACAGCTCTCCCTTCGCCCTCTGCCTCTCCCCCTCCTCCTCCTCCTCCTGCTGCTACTACTACTACTACTACTACTACGACTTCATCAGACATGCAGCTCCCACAGAAGCAGCTACAACCACCCCTCATCGACATCTCCATCAGCTCTGAGCCGCCGCCGCTGCTCAAGCCGACCAAGACCCGGGACCAATATGGCTTTCGAAAAGCAACCACCCACGTGACCGTTGAGCAGTACGACTCCTGGTATCAATCCTATGCCGAATACCAGAAGATCCGGAGCGAGAAGTGGTATGCGCTGCTCAAGGCGAGCGGCATCGATGAGGCAGTGCCCACGACGTTCCCCCTCCGGTCTGCAAAGCTGAAGAAGTACATCCGCAAGGGCATCCCGCCAGAGTGCCGTGGAGCGGCCTGGTTCTGGTACGCCGGCGGATACGACTACATACGGCGCAACCCGGGCCTGTACAGACGCCTCGTCGAGACCGCCCTCCGCAGCCCCATGAACGACGACAAGGAACACATTGAGCGGGATCTCCATCGAACGTTCCCAGACAACGTCCACTACAAGCCAGATTCCTCCGAGGACGGCGCCTCTAGTGGCAGCGGCAGCAGCAATCTCAAACACAGCTCCTCTTCGCCAGACACCCCCATCATCCAGTCTCTTCGCCGTGTACTATATGCATTTTCCCTACATAATTCTAATATCGGATATACCCAGTCGCTCAACTTCATCGCCGGATTCCTCATCCTCTTCCTGCCCGAGGAAAAGGCCTTCTGGCTCCTCCACATCATCACCTCCTCCTTCTTCCCGGGAACTCACGAAATCAGCCTCGAAGGCGCCAACGCAGACCTCTGGATCCTCATGGTCGCCCTCAAGGAATCCCTCCCGTCCGTCTACACAAAGGTCGTCAGCACCGCCCCTACAACCTCCAGATCAAAACCCCCAAACCTAAGTACCGCCACCCGGCTGCCGGATATCACCCTGGGTCTCACAAACTGGCTCATGTCCATGTTCATCAGCACTCTGCCCTTCGAAACAACCCTACGCGTCTGGGACGTGTTATTCTACGAGGGATCCCGTACCTTCTTCCGCGTTGCCCTCTCCATCTTCCGCATGAACCAGAAACAAATCGTCTCCCTCGGCGATCCCATGGAGATCTTCCAGGTCGTCCAGACCGCTCCCAAGCGCATGATCGACCCCAACGAGCTCATGATGGACTGCTTCGCTCGCCGCTTCAAACTGTCACAGGCTCGCGTGGAGACCTTACGCCAGGCTCGAAGAGCCGCTATCAGAGAGGGCAAGGATCGGTTATCTCAATTGGCTGGACCAAGGAAGTTCAAGACCGATCCCGGCGGAAGACCGGGTACGGGTGCCAACAACTCTTCCCCCAGCGCATGGAGGAGTTTCAAAAGCTTCAAACAGTGAATCCGATATTTCCATCATTCTCGTCAATCGTTTCTGTCCGATTCCTCTTTTTTTTTTTTTTTTTTTTTTTTTGACTCCCGTTTGTCCTATTCGCTTCTACCGGCTACCTCTTTGTCTCCAGCCCTGGCTTGGATACCTACATACTTACATACCCTCTTTTTCACTTCTTGCATATGCATACATATTCCTCTCTTGATTGATGACCATCATGGTATCGGCGTTATTCTTCTCGTTTACTGTCCCGCATCCATCAGCCTTCGTCGACTTCGCCTTAGCCGTGCTATATCTCTTTTATGTGTCCGTCCTACAGCCTGCTGCTGCTTTGCCTGCTGCTTTGCCTGCCTGCCTGCCAAAAAGCTCCGTTTTTTATACATACCTACTGCATGTATCCATAGAACTACCTACGTCCGCTCACCTATAGACTAGACTTCCTAGGTATAAGTAAATAGAACCACTAAAACAAAAACCCACACTGGCTGCGGCACTCTAACTGAGCCAGAGTGTATGTTAGCATCAGATGAAAATAGCAAACCTCCTCCTATATAAATAAACCAGCAATTAATTGAATCGTTGAATAAAATCATATCATTCAAAGTAGCCGTCAGCCGTTAAAAGTCTATATGTTTAGACAAAAGATACTCGTTGAAAAAGAAGTCTATAAACCATCCGCTGAGAAACACCTCGTTTTAATCATGCCCTGCCCCCGGTACACCGTTCATTTAAACCTCCTTTCTTTTTTTTTTTTTTTTAAAAAAAAAAAAGCCATTCAACTAACCCTTCTTACCACTTACACACTGCGTGAGACTAACAAGCGCCCAGGCCACGCCCTTCACACAAGCAGTAAGACACCACATTATAATTGAAAAGAACCAGAATAACGCCCGCAGCGCAGCCCGGGTCGGTCCAGGTAACTTCTCCCCGGCACGCGGTGTCCCATCCGCATACCGTCCGTACCGCTCAACGTCAATCTCCTCAACCACCAGAGCGGGCTTCCGTTTCTTTTTCTGCTGCTGCTGCTGTTTTGTTGTTGGCGTGATGCCACGTCCACCATCTCCCCGCTGCTGCTGCCGCTGCTGCTGCTTGACTGCATTGGAGGATCTGCCGATACCGGCTTCAAGGTCTATCTCCTCGACTTCAGGCCGTCTTTTCCAAGGCCATTTCCAGGATGATACCGACTGGTTCCTTTCGATTCCCTTTGTTTTCGCCTAATCTGCGCCATCAACTCCGCTTCTCGTTCGTATTCTTCGCGCTCAGCTTGAGTCGTGAAGATTTGTTTGCCGGTTGGTGTAAAGTATCGACGTTCTGCCTCAATACAAGCGGGCTTGTTATTGGGAGTGGAGGTGGATGTTGACATGGGATTGGAATGCTCGTTAGCACTGCCATTGCTATTGGTCGGGGTATGGTTTGCAAGAACGGAGGCTGGGCTTGGTGTTGGAGGCCGGTACGGGTCTGGGAATTCCTCTAGCTTGGGGGCATAGATGTCGATGCTCTCGAGCACCTGCTTGGTGGTTTCGTTGGAAATAGCTGCGACCAGGGTATCAATGCTATGCAGGGATGGGACTGCCGAAAGAATATCGTTTGAAAAGATAGTAAGAGTCATGTGCTCTAAATCCACGGCTGCCAACGGTGTATCAGTCCCCCTTGAGGACGACCCGCTGTTAGGAGCTGACACGACGACGGTAGGGCCATATGATGGGCCGCCGAATGGAGGTAGTGAGTTCGATACCGATGCATTAAGAAGACTTGTACGCACGCTTGACCGGGCTGATTGAGGGCGGCTTCCGGGAGTAGATGGCGAGGAGTTCATCATCGCCTGGTAGTGTAGTTTATACCGTGTTTGGGCATCCTGCCACTCAAAAACGCAAGTCTCCTTTGCTTTCACCTGGCTCACTGCAGCACTCTCGGCTTCCATGGCTTGTACAGGGGTTAGTTTATTTTGTCTTGCCAATTCTAATGACTGCTCCCTTGCTAAAATCTCAGCCAGTTTCGGGAAAATGGGAATGGTGGTGCTGCTGCGGTTTTGGATGTGGTCAAGGTTAAGGGTTACTATTGGGGATTTGGTGTTCGGTTTGGTTGGGTGAGTCTTGTGAAGTTCAAAATCACTAATTGTGTCAGTCTTCAGTGTGTAGAAAGCCACAGATCCAGCACCAATATTATATGTGAACGAATCAATCCTATGTCGTTGTTAGTTCTGGGTTGGATAGCTCATGAAAGAAAAACGGAAGACGCCTACCTTCGGATGTTCAGGTGAAAAGTGCCAGCATCAGATCCAGGGCTTTCACCACACGTGGCATTCCATAGCTTTTCAAGGGATTCCACTGAAGCGATCATGGGCCCGTCGGTGGATGTAAATGAACTAGGGCATGCAGAAGTAGATGGAGGAGAAAGAGATCCATAGTCTACTCGTGATGGTGCTTGGTCCGAACTACTTCTAGGTGATCCTGCATTCGGGTAATATCTCTGTTGATTCAGAGGCAGGTCAGGATCATATCGAGGAAATATAGATCTCATCAGAGGTGGCGGAGGTGGAGGAAGAGGTGACGAGTTGTCTTGTCCTGGAGAATTGCCAACATCACGCGGTTCGCCCTCCGAAGTCGAAGGTGATGACCATCCTCCAGGGGTTGAATCGCTCTGGGAGTTTGTAGAACTGGCAGTCTTCGCCCTTTTACGTGATGAGGATGTTGTCGACTTAGATCTGTTCGGGGTAGATGACCGGGGAGGAGGAAAGACAGCAAACTTATGCTGAGAGTTCCCATTCAGCTGCGGGACTGGTGGCGGTGACTGGTTGTCTACCGACTTTGGCATGCTTGATCTCGACATGGATGATGGCGACGGAGATACCCTTCTGTGAGGCTGTGGAAAGACAAAAATTTTATCTTCTCTGGACGCCGTGTTATTTGTATAGTTTGGCTCCGTATGGGCCTGTTGAGATGGTATAATACTATTTGTGTCTTCGATTATCCGCAGAATCACAGCTTCAGTTTGACCGCCAACCTTTGTATCCTCGAGAACAGGAGACATCCGAGGAGATTTTGTCCTTCGAGGGCGGTGTGCACGCATAGAAGCATTGATGTTGCCGTTGCCGCTGCTTCTGTTGATGCTGTTCTGCCCGGTTTTGTTCGAGGACTGCATGGCGGGAGACAATTGGAATTGTCCCTCGAGGGAATCAGGCATCTGATGTGTAATAATAATAAAAGACGGTCAGGCCAACGGACGTCAGTTAACAGGAATACTGGCCGGGTATGCGATGCACGAAGCACATTTAGCAGGATTTTCGGTGAGCAAAAGAAACAGGGAAAATCAGGGACGGGAGAAACAAAGCAGTTTCTCTCTCTTTCAGCTATGAAAGAGAAGAAGAAGGAAGAAAAAAGTGAGCCCCCGCATTGTGAAAACGGCGGATCACATATTATCTATCGTACAGGGCACAAAAATGAGCCCCCGGATGACGGGATATGGCCAACCAGAACGATCGACGAAGGCGGTGCGACGGTTTACCGCTGGGCCTTTTTAGCACCACACCATGAAAAATTCCCACCAGTCCCTTATTTTGTTTCCCCACGCCACACATCAAAGTCTCTGTCTGGAAGAATCTTGTTGCATTCTTCCTGTGTTAGCGAGGATGTCCATTTCAGGGAGGAATCGATGGATCGGCTGAATCACCGTGCATGAAACCTTTCCAGATATGTACTGGGTTGTCAAGATTGGCATCTTCCGATTCGCTCTGCACAGAGACGGGATGGGTAGCCGCCGTACTTATTGGCCGGGTGTGGTGCAGAAGATGTGACCAGTCCATCGATTGGCGGGGGCCCCCTGCATCCCGTCACGAACCAGGCGCTTGGAGAGGACAGGGGATCGGCGCGACCAATGCGGTGCTTGGAGGGCACTAGAAGAACTAGTGTAGCCCTTCTAACAAGCAAACAGAGCCCTTCACGTCTTCTTATTGGAGTCGTAATTATAGCACCTCGCCCCGGCGAACCTCCTGTCGTCGTTGTCGAGAGCAACATGCGGTCGGATGTTTTGCTTTTTTATATTGAGGCTTTGAAGAGCCAAAAGGGAAAGAACCCACTTAGTTAGGAACGGGAATCAAAATTAGGCTTATCACGTGAGCAGGGGTCCCCCTGGGGCCTGGCGGTTGCAAGGAAGCAAAAGAGGACCACAGGCATCATCACCTGGGGTGTGATTTCGTTTCTTCAGGGCATGGTTGGTGTGGCCCGTAGGAGGGAGGCTGGGTGCGTAACCGCCCGCAGGGCCATGGGGTCCTGGATTTGTTCATGCGGTGCGGAGGTGTGGCACGGGGGGGGGGGGGGGGGGGGTCGTACTGAGTATATATATTTCTAGTTTCTAGTATGGTACACGTGAAGGGAGAGCTTCTATGCAGCGTCACGGTTGACCAGGCCCTCTATCATCGAGATAGCGCCATCCATGTTTCCCTTGTTATATAGGAACAGGCCTTGGAGAGCGGCGGCGCTAGTTCCCATAGCCCGGTCTCGCTTCTGGCCATCTTCGTCCTCAATAATACCAAGCGCCGTGAGCCGGTCAAGGAACGCCTTCTTATACGCGCTTGACTCGTCGAGCTCGCCGTAGAATCTATCCCAGAGCTGAGACACTTGGTATCTGGTGGCTTCGCCAAGACGAACGGTCATGTCCACTCGGCCGGGCCGCACTAGAGCTTCATCCAGCCTGTCGACGTGGTTAGTGGTGAGGAAAATAATTCGTTCCTCGGCACTAGCAACCCCGTCGAGCGCATTGAGTAAACCGGAGAAGGTGACATTCGCACCCCGGTATCCATCATCATCGGACTGTACGCGCCGTGAGCTAAAGGCCGCATCCACGTCTTCAAGTAGGACCAGGGTCCGTGCCGGGATGATGGTAAGCAGGTGATTCAATCGATCGTCCGTCAGGCCTCTCTCACTAAGATTGAGGACTGCGATATCGTAGTCTAGTTCTCCAGCCAGCGCTTGGATGAAAGAGCTCTTGCCGGTACCCGGGGGGCCGTGGAGCAGGTAGCCTCGCCTGTAAGGAATACCACGATCGTGGTACCATGCTCCACTTGAGAAAAAGTCCTTTACGTCGGCCACGATTCGTTCCTTGACTCCTGCATCCAAGATGACCGAGCTCAATGGTCTCTTGCGCCGAGGCTGACCAAATTGGCGCCACTCTGCTCCCCAGGAATTGTAGATAACAGTCTTTCCTTCATGCGTCTTCACCGCGTACTCGTGTGCTTCTTTGAACAAGTCTTCGAAGATATGCCGTTGCGAGTATAGCGTGGTAAGTGTCACAGTCTCCCATGGGCGCCCAGTCTGCAGGTCCCGTGACTTGGCTTCTCGGACGCGATTTACGAAGATGAATGCGTTCTTGTATCTGAGAATATGTTTTCCCGGTCCCGGTATGAGGGCGAAGTGCGTGTGCATCGCCCCGTTTGCGTGTTCGATCTTCTCGGTTTGTATGGACAGGTGACGCATACCGGGTGTAAGCTTGTTCAGCAGTGAGTCCATAAAGGATGTCTGCGTCTGCCCTCGAGCAGCTTGATTCGTAAGCTGCGAGCGTTGATAGAGCGTCATCCAGTTCAAAAACCACGGGTAGGAGTCGTCCTTTATGCTAATCTCCACGTCAACCAACATCCGTCTGCGCAAAAGTATAGCCCCATGTCGGATTCCACGCTGCGCAAGTGTGAGGCCTGCTCCTAAACCTGCTAATCCAAATCCCTATCAATTGAACAAAAAAGAATATTAGTATGTATGTTAGCCAGGATTCAACCTCTACGCCACTTACAGCTGTGAAAAAGGGGTTATCGGAAAGCTGTGCAAACAACCCTTTATCCGTCTGGATGGCATTTCCTGCTGTCAAGTTCAGCTTAGCTGCTGCCACAGAACTTGCCGGGTCAGCAGCCGCCCCATTCGGTTCCATTGACCTGGAGGCAATTGCCGCAGCATCTTTTCCCAACATAGGTGTACCCGTACAGCTCTAGCCTATCTCATGTCGTGAGAAGTTTTCTTGTTATCCAGACTCCGGATCGAAGCTCGCTTTTTTTTTTTTGATATCCGTCGCTGCCTTAACTCTGCTTATGTAATTTAACTTTATCAATGACGGATAATAGTAATGCCGTGAGGCTTAAATAAGGTTGATGATGTAATCTTGAATGTTTACTTAAACTGATGTCATTGACTTGTCGAGTACCGTCAACGACATAAAATGACGGTGTTTGACAGTCATTGGAATTAGATATGACGGCTTCGACTTACCTCAGTAGTGCTGTAATATATGAAGAGGGATCCTTTCCTTGAAATACTGAAATGATTCTAATCTCTAACCATCTCAGACCGTAAATCAGACGTTACCCCTTACTCTAGAACTATACCAAGTAGAACTTGATATTAATACGCATGACAAAGATGTCATCTCAGACTGACCTTCAAGTTAGGCCCTCCTCAGCATTCAAGAGGGTCAAAGATAAAATCCAGGCCTGCGTGGACATTAAGAAGAAACACGATATGCAACTTGCCGAATTAGGGGAACCGACCGACTCCTACTGCTATAAAGCTACTTTGGTCAAGTATCATTGCCCCCAGAAAGATGAGCTTCATACAACCACTGATACTGAGGCATTCGTAAATAGTTGGGAGTATGTATTCTATCTTTGGATAGCTCTATATTATGGATTTAGTCGGGCTAATAAATAAATAGGCCACTAGGCTCAGAACTTTTCCAAAGGCGTATGGAACAGAATGACGAGAGGGAAAGAAAAACCATGAAGGCACACTTACAGTAAGAAAAATATGACAAGAATAACCATCCCAGTTGTCATTGAAGGATAGCTAACTTTCAGTTTAGGAGACTCCATGAAAGAGTCAAGCGCCTGTTCCAAAGCCCCGCAGTGGATGTTACCTTTCCCAACTTTCGGTGGACGAGGAGATATAATGACATCTACGCAACCTGGATGGGACACTCGTGTGTCTACATGGAATTCTACATGAATGGTCTCACTGTCCTTTGTGACCCCGTCTTTGAAGATACATGTGTGTATCGAGGAGTGAAGGAACACCGTCTCAATCCACCGCCGTGCAAGCTCGAGGATATCCCCTTTGTCGACATCGTCTTGATTTCTAACAGCCACCCTCAGCACTTTTCTTATCGCACGATAAAAAAGATCCATAAGATTCATCCCTTCTGTCGGTTTATGGTCCCGAGAGGATGCGCAGACTGGTTCAGAGAGAATGGTATCGATACAGTGACCGAGTTTGACTGGTATGAGAAGGTGGACTTTCAGGCCCTGCCATACGCCAATGCATCGGACACCACTCCGATTGCGGATATTGGACGCTACAGAAACAAAGAGATGGAAGCCACTATATGGTGTCTTCCCTGCCAGTACGAAAGCCCTATGGGCCCGGGGAGCAGGGCAAAGGGGCTCTGGGCTGCATGGCTGATACAGACGGGAATGTGCAATGTCTATTTCTGCGGGTATGCACCTCGTATTCTCAATGGTAACTATACACATGCTAACATTCCACTAACCAGGGCAACTGGATACCGAACTCCAGAAGATGTCCCGCCCGGCGCGGATCCCCTCTTTACGAGAGTCGCAAAACGTCCGTACACTAATAACCGCTGCCCCCGGGAGTTGTGCAAGATCATCGGAGACATACGCCCCCATATAGATCTTGCATGCATCCCAATTGGCGGATATAAACCCCGTAGTCTCTGGAGCGGGAGGAACTGCGACCCCACCGATGCGATAATGATGCTCGAGGACTTGGGGGCCCAGTTTGGCCTCGCCATAGGCTATGGCACCTGGGGAACCACGAACAAAGAGTTCAGAGCAATTGAGGACGAGCTTGAGCGTGCCTCCATCGCACGGCAGTGTAAAAAAAATAAGTTCAATACCACAGGAATTGGCCATACCATAGGATACGGTGAATACGGTGCTCACGCACCGCTGGACCCGCAGCATCTCTGCAAAAACAGGTCCGAGTGGCTGAAGGCGAAATTGAGCGAAAAAAGGGGTCGTGAGTCTTTCTGTGGAAGAGGATTATACAGGCCTCGTGCACAGTAAGAGATGGCCATCTGATATAGAGGTGTCCTTCCCCTTTGGGCATTCACAGCCTGTTGTCGCCGCCGAGCGTCCCTGTTTGGAATAGTGTGCATGTTTGTTTTGACGCCCGTCCTCAGGTGGGATGTCCTTATAAAAGCCCCTTCTTCTCCTTCTTGTCCTTCTTTTCTTTCTCCTTCTTCTTCTTCTCTCTCTTTTCTTCCTGTTCATAACAAACAACTCTTTACACAAATGAAACCACACTCCTTTATATATACTCCTATTCACCAGACATATATGTATACTGTCTTATGTATATATCCTGTCTAGCAGGATTATTCTCTGCTGTTGCCGCCATATGAAATGCACGGCAGGTAAGAAGCGCGCCCTTCGAAGCCATGTTTGACGCTGCTAACCCGCTTGTTCATCAGACAAGCGAATAAAGGGTATCGATATCGGTATTCGGTATTAATATAACCGACAATAATATATCGCTCCCCATTAGGGGAAGCGATTTGCAGACGTTACCCTCCCCTTGGCCCCCCTTACCTCGGGCCAAACACTAGCCGGGCTAAGGGGAGGGTGGAGATAGATACCACCCTTTCTCAGGTTTTCCTATGTCCAGAGTTTGTTGGAAAACTTGGTATTCCAAATTCTATCATATTGGGTATCGAAAAAATCGATATCACCTCCAATTTTGGAGGTGAAATAAGGGCATCACCTCTCGTATCACGAGAGGTGCCGGGGGGCCACCTACAATGGTGTGCCCTCCCGGCGTTCCAGCCGAACTCCGAGATTCCAGAAAACCGACAAGATCGGAAGAATTAATATAAAACACATACTTCCACCCGAGGGCATGGGTCCCCTACCACGGGGGAAAAGGTACGTATATTCGCGTTTTCCTCATAGCATTACCGCGCAACTAACAAGTCAAGATAATAGAAAGACCAAGTGCCATTTAATAAAGGAATAACGGATATATCTACCTGGATAATAGGTGGTGCCTTTGGCCACTCCCTCCGAGGACAACCTCGGAGGTGATTGTGTGCCGGCTCGTCCTTCGTCCCTCACCTGAAGGACGAGCCGGCCATGGAATAATGTCAAGGAAATCATTATCGGAATGACACAGGGCCACGATGGATGTATCAGCTCATCCAATGTTGACCCCTTTCCAGGAGGGGTCAATAGTGACCTCAAAAGAGGTCGAGCAGTAAGTTAGCCCTCTCACGTCCACGAAACCTGGGAGTTATTCTAACCATTTTTCAACCTAAAGGCCGAACTCGAGCGCATGAGGATGAGCATATTGGGCCTTTTATTATATATATAATAATAATTATAATATTAAAAACATAAATATAATATCCCGTTGTAAGACGCATTCCTGTCATTAGCTAGCAAAGAATCAAAATGATATCGACTTGGTTGAGCTGGAGTAGAATGCGCTAGTCTTCTTTGGGTCTAGTGCGGGATCTCTCCCACATGAAGCTTTTCTATGCAAAAAGCGAAAGTCGAAAGTTGATATCAGAGAAGACGAACAGGAAGACCAAGAAGAAAGCTCCAGCACGTCTAGATAACTACGCCGTGGGAGGTGTCTTGTGGCCGATCCTGTTTATTTTTCTTAATTCGTTCCGCCTGGGACTCCCTTTATACTGTTATTCTTTTATAATCGAGCTCCCCGTTGCCCAAGATGCAGGCCCCTGTGGTTGTTATGAGTAGGTCCAAACACTCCCGGGCTTCTGCCTGCAGCCTACCTTCTCTCGTACCATTGCTAATATCAGGCTTCAGATACCCAGAATGAAGGGAGACAGATTGGCCGAAAGGCACAGATGTCAAATATCGCAGCTGCCAAAACGTGAGGAAGCCTGCCACGAACCCCTCTATACAAGATGATATGGTTACTAAACGAAAGGGGGGAATATGTAGTGTTGCCGATATTATCCGATCATGTCTGGGCCCGAAAGCCATGCTTAAGATGCTTCTTGATCCCATGGGCGGAATTGTTTTGACCAATGATGGCCATGCAATCCTTCGAGAGATTGAAGTTGCTCACCCCGCCGCAAAGAGCATGATAGAGCTGAGCCGGACGCAAGATGAAGAAGTTGGTGATGGAACTACGACTGTTATTGTGCTTGGTATGTCCTTTTTAGTGTATCTGTTATGTCCTAGGGCTGTACTAACTACTGTACTCTTTGTAGCCGGAGAAATTCTGGCGCATGCGCTCCCCCAGCTCGAACGCAACATCCACCCTGTTCTCATAATCTCTGCCTTCAAGCGAGCCCTTTCCGACGCTCTTGCCATAATCGAGGAAATATCCCTTCCAGTCGAAGTGGATGATGACAAGGCCATGTACAGTCTGATACAGTCGTCGATCGGAACTAAATTCGTCTCTCGCTGGTCAGAACTCATGTGCGGCCTAGCTCTGAAGGCAGTGCGAACCGTATCTCTTGATAACGGCAGCGGCAGGAAAGAAGTTGATATTAAACGATATGCGCGTGTCGAGAAAATTCCCGGCGGCCAGATCGAAGACAGTGAGGTCATAGATGGTGTCATTATCAATAAGGATATCACCCATCCCAAGATGCGACGAAGGATAGAAAACCCAAGAATCATCCTTCTTGACTGTCCTTTGGAGTATAAGAAGGGAGAATCCCAGACCAACATTGAAGTCAGCAAAGAGGACGATTGGAATAAGATTCTACAGATCGAAGAAGAGCAGGTCAAGCGCATGTGTGATGCCATCATTGCTCTTAAGCCTGATTTGGTCATCACTGAGAAGGGTGTCTCCGGTATGATATTCTACCTCTGTAATTGGATTGACCCCGGCTTTGACTTGACTAACTTCTCCTAGATCTGGCGCAACATTTCCTAGTTAAGCAGAATATCACTGCCCTTCGACGTGTGCGAAAGATGGACAACAATCGCATTGCCCGTGCTACTGGTGCTACCATCGTCAACCGTGTCGACGACCTACAGGAATCCGATATTGGAACCCAGTGCGGCATCTTCGAGATTGAAAAGATCGGTGATGAATACTTCTCGTTCCTCAGAAAGTGCAAGAACCCGAAGGCCTGCAGCATCATCCTCAGAGGTCCATCCAAGGATATCCTTAACGAGGTCGAGCGAAATCTTCAAGATGCCATGTCCGTGGCCAGAAACGTTATTTACCATCCTCGCCTATCCCCTGGTGGAGGTGCCACTGAGATGGCCGTCTCCGTCAAGCTTGCTAACCTAGCCAAGTCGGTCGAAGGTGTCCAGCAATGGCCGTACAAGGCCGTCGCCGATGCAATGGAGGTCATACCGCGAACTCTAGTCCAGAACTCTGGAGCCAACCCAATCCAGGTCCTCACTGCTTTGAGAGCCAAGCATGTCGAAGGCCGCAGCACTTGGGGTATCGACGGTGATACCGGAAAGCTTGTTGATATGAAGGAGTATGGCGTATGGGAGCCCGAAGCCGTCAAACTGCAGAGCGTCAAGACTGCCATTGAGGTATATTTTTTTACTTTTCTTCCCATTTTCCCTAGTTTTTACATAGGTTGCTAACGTACATTTCTTTTCTGTTAGTCTGCATGCCTGCTACTGCGTGTTGATGACATCTGCAGCGCTAAATCCCTAAACCAAGCTGCTAACATGGGAGGCGGTGAAGAGTAGACGGTCTGGAGTATTTTCATGATTGGGATATGTCGATCAGGCACATAAAACCGCCATCAATACATAATGCAAGGAAAAAATTTAAACAGAATAGAGAAATCAATTGGCCGCATGCATGTGCATGGCCGTGTCATATCAAAAAACTGAGATTCGCCTGGGTATCATATCATCTCTTTATAGTACAGCATCACCCGTTTAGACCCGCATATCAATCCTCATCATGTATAATAACGCCAGGGACTTCACCGTTCTCATGTCCGTCCTCCTTAGTCTCTGGCGCAGCACCCTCATTCGTAGCACGTCCCTTGACAGCCGCATCAGTAGCATTGTTTCCTCCGTCCTCATCATCACCACTCTTTCCCTTCTTCCCCTTCCCTTTCTTCCTCTTCTCTCTTTTCCTCCTATTCTTCTCAGTCTTCTCTTCATCCTTCCGCCTAGCTTCTTCCCTCGCTTTATTGAACTCGATCTCGTCTTTCTCCTTCTTTAGCTCCTCCTCCATAAGCTTTATCCGTTCATACTCTCGCCTCCTACTAGCCTTGTAGACATGGAACTCTCCCGACCCAGCTCCCGCGGAGGATCCCTGGACATTAGCTATTATTTCCGGCGGTGGAGCAAGGGTCTTTGGTTTCGATGGTTCCGGTAACCTGATTTCTTTTGAGGGGTCTTTAAACAGCGTTTTTATCTCATGTGCTTGCTCTGAGAGGGGTGTAAGGGCCCGCCGTTTCGTGGGGCGTTTGCTTTGGGGGTCTTGACTTGTGGGAATGGATTCCGGAATCGGCTCTGACATCGTGGTGATGCCCAAAGGTAGTCGTTTGGTAGGCTATGAGTTTGGTATCTCCTACGCCTTCTTTTTTGTTGTATGTGTGTATGCCCGGGTGTATCGTAAATTCGCCTTAACAAATGGATATTTGAAATGGCTCGTTATCCTCCACGTATACTGCCTGTCTCGTCCTGCGTCGTCGAAGAAAGCTGAAGGCCGTTGAAGTTGAAGTCGAATCATTTTCTTCTTCCTTTTCAACGACTTCAATGACCAAATTCCCGGTCACATGATATATTTTAACAAAATATCCGTACGCAGACTGTATATTGAATATTTTGATTAAACATGAAGTGAATCAGATCAAGATAAGTTTGATAGTGAAATCACGTAGAATGCGGACTAAATACCATGAAGTTATTTGCAGGCTTCCTTGGGAGCAACAGAGATGCGTAGTTATGGTGTATTAACCTTCTACTGCAGAGCAAACATCACAGGCGTATTCCCACAAGCAGCCGATGCTATATTGAACAATCCTAAGTATCAAATAATCTAAATGAAGCCTTGTTCATGCGTGCAAATACCAGATATTGAATAGGCGAGCGTGCGTAATAATCGCAAGGGTTGCTGCTATACATCCGTCGAGCCCTAAATGTTGGTCGCAGACCACGAAAGAAAGCAACATCGCACTCTTGCAACTTCTCACGCTTGACATCATCACGGCTTGCACTTGTATTGTGCGCTCAGACTGGTAGATCAGTATGCCAACCTATCGTATTGGTGAGTAGATTTATACCGTTACTTTCTTGATTCTTGAGCTGCTTGTTCTCAAGTTGAATACGACGCGCCGTGACGCGACCTGCAAGAGCTATGCTAACATCGAATCACGACTAGAGCTGGCCAGTACTGGCAGGGCTGGCTGCAAGAATAAGGAATGCCAGGAGAAAAGGGAAAAGATCCTTAAGGGAGAGCTGAGACTAGGCACATTCGTTGACACCGAGCAGTTCCAAAGCTGGGCGTGGAAGCACTGGTAAGTTGTGCTATCTACTGTCGTGTTTGGCCCTCGCGCGGATACTGATTCGACACTAGGGGATGTGTGACTCCAAGGCAAATTGCGAGTATCCAGGAAATCGTTGATGAGAATGGAGACCGTGACATGACGCTTCTGGATGGCTACGACGAGATCCCAGCCGACAGCCAGAAGAAAGTCGCCGATGCCGTCGAACAAGGCCATGTCGACGATGAGGACTGGAAGGGTGTATGTTCGTCATTCGCCGTATAAATTTTCTTCTTAATGACCTATTATTATAGGATGTGGAGATGAACCGGCCTGGAAAGGTCGGGTTTCGAGTGAGAGCGTCCAAGAAGAAGGTAGGTATCATTATGTCCCACACTTATCTAGATATATATACTTACTCTGAACTAGAATCAGAAGGATGAAGACGAGGACGAGGACGAGGATGATAAAAAGAAGAGTGGCAAGACCAAAAAGGCACCCAAGCAACAAAAAGGCAAGAGGAAGGCCGATGAGGCTGACGAGGCCGAGGAGCCGGCCACTAAAAAGACCAAAACCAGTGCTAAAGCTGATGCAAAGAAGACCAAGGCAGACAAGGCCAAACCACAGGTCAGCAAAGAACCCGAGGTAGAGGAAGAAGCCAAAGACAAGGAAGCCGAGGAAAAGAAGCCTAAGGGGTCCAGGGCCAAGGGCGCCAAGGAGAAGAAGACTACTGCTGCCAAAGAGAAGAAGGAAAAGGAGGAAAAGAAGCCCAAGGAGAATGCTAAGGGAAAAGCGAAGGAGAAGGAAGAGGCGAAGGAGACGAAGGCGAAGGCGAAGAAAGATGATACCAAAGACACCAAAGAGAAAAACGCCGTGAAGAAGGATACCAAGGAGAAGGAGAAGAAAGAGACCAAGCAGAAGAAAGATACGAAAGAAGAAGAAGCAAAAGAGAAGAAAGAGAAGAAGCCAGCTGCAAAGGCACAGAAAAAGGCGGCTGACAAGGATGCACCAGCCCGTCGAGCGAGCGGAAGAGTGTCACGCACAAAAGCTGCTGCTACCTAAGAAGCCCCGCATCAGGCGTCCCCTCCTCTCATTTCTACTTCTGCCGTGCTGTAAGTGTTGTACTAGTTTAATCAACTATATATGTTCTAGCTGGTATAATCCTAGTTTTAGTACACCGCCGCGGCTATTCCCGCGCTTATCGCTCCCGCGTTGCCCAGGCAACCGCCAGTGTTTTTGAGGCGGCTCAAAAGTCGCTCTGGCAGCGCCAACTTTTTGATAACTCACAACCACCAAAGGAACTTTTAACGGTCGAGATTGGGTCGCCTCAGAAAAGCAAAAGGAAGAGGAAAAAGGAACGGACAGCATACACCTAGGTCGCCTGGAAATTACATATACGCAGCGATGGAGCGGCCGAAGTCTTCGAGCGGACAAACGTCGCTGTTCCAGGTCTATCTGCGACTACGCCCGCCGATCCAGAACAAACATGATGCCAAACAAGAGCCCTTTTTGTCCATTGAGCCTCCTGAGGGCGATGAGCCGTTTCCAACTCACATCACAGTTCAGCCGCCGAACGATGCGAGAAAACGGGCCGTGGAGAAATTCGCATTCACCAAAGTGTTCGAGGAAGAAGCTACACAGCTCGATGTCTTTCAGGAGTCTGGCATGCCATCATTGATCAATGCCGTGCTTTTGGAGAACAGGGATAGCCTGGTGGCGACGCTGGGAGTCACAGGAAGTGGGAAGGTAGGCTGCAACAGGTTCCTGAACTAGTGATTATGATATTGATGGCATGCCTATATAGAGCCACACGATCCTAGGATCCAAGACGCAACGAGGTATAACACAGATGTCTCTTGATATTATCTTTAGGTCTCTCGAAAAAACCATACAAGTTCCGGACGATGAAGCAGAGAATCCTCTCCTCGATTCCGTCGCAGCGTCAGATCCGTCAGAAGCCCAGATTTATGCTGCAGACCACTTTCTTGAGATGATCTATGGAGACGGAGATCGAGGACGGATTTCAAGAGCGCAGACACCAATGTCCAGATCTCAGACGCCCATGGTAGGACATTCATCCCAACTCAGCATCTCAGCACTATTGGGGAAGAATATACATACATCGGCTTTATCCCATCCAGCACTTGAACAAATACACCAAAATACACATATATACCCCTTTATCCCTCAGCTTCCAACATATATGTTTGATCATAATCAAGACACATCTTGGAGCTCATGCATATCACCAAAGCTTCCCTCTCAATTGCCTTTTTGGAACAGAAATCACAGCAACACAGCAAAGAATTTTACTAAATCACATCTCAAGGATTCATTCATAGGAACAAGCTCGCGCCGCCCCCACCTCCCTCGAGTTAGCATCTTACCACAAGACCCTGACACAAGTGGCATTGAAATCTCCGTCCCTGAAACCGATGAGCATGTTGTCCTTGTGTCGATGTACGAAGTGTACAACGACAGAATCTTTGACCTCCTATCTCCAGCCAGCCAAGTTAACGGAACGCGAGCTGCAAATAACCAGAAAGATCGTCGACGACCCTTGCTTTTCAAATCAACCGAAGGCTCAACAGACCGTAAAGTTGTTGCCGGGTTGCGGAAAGTTGTTTGCTCAACATATGAGGAAGCTTTGATGGTCCTTGAGACAGGACTGACTGAGCGAAGAGTTACAGGTACAGGAAGCAACAGTGTCAGCTCTAGAAGCCACGGGTTCTTCTGTGTTGAAGTCAAAAAGAAAGTTGTGGATAGGAGATATGGCCACGAATCGTGGGCCGGACATACATTTACCATTGTTGATCTTGCAGGTAAGTTATTACTTTATATGAGCGAGTATGTAGATATACTAACTGCCGACATAAGGTTCTGAGCGAGCAAGAAACGCAAAAACTGCTGGAGCCACGCTTGCGGAAGCTGGTAAAATTAACGAAAGTCTGATGTATCTTGGGCAATGTCTACAGATGCAATCAGATCTCCAGGATGGCAATAAGGTACGTTTCGATTGTATATACTTGCATGGGGTTCATCTAATTTTGAAATTAATAGGCCCTCGTACCATTCAGGCAGTGTAAACTCACAGAACTCCTGTTTTCAAATTCTTTCCCATCACCAAACAATGCATCGTCAAATTCACATCCAAGGAATTCCCAAAGGGCCGTCATGCTGGTAATGGCCGACCCCTTAGGTGACTTCAACGCAACTTCTCAGATGTTACGATACTCTGCTCTCGCTAGAGAGGTTACTGTTCCAAGAATTCCATCTATAACCAGCACGATACTATCTGCTCCTCCTAGCTCAGCTACGCCAAAGCCCGGCCCTGGCACCTCCAGTAAGGCACAAGCCGCTTATGCAGACCAGCTAGAACTCGCGGCCTTGGAAATTGCGCAGATAAGTGATGAATATGAAGCACTTGCTGTCAGATTCTCTGAGGAACAAGCCCTGAGGATTGAAGCAGAGTTCAAGCTCAAGGCTGCTGACGAGCGGTGTCTACTCATTGAGCAAGACGTTCGAGAAGAATGTTGGGCTGAAATGGAAGAACGTATGGACGAAGAGAAACGACGTTGGCAAGCTGCCTTGGATGAAGAGGTAATTATCCAGTCCCCTGCTCTATACCAACCGACACTAATGTTCGCTCTAGACTTCTCGAAATGAGAATCATCTAGATATGAAGATTGACGTCCTTTCGCGAGGCATCAAGAGTGAGTGCATGCCAAATTCAGTTATATTCGTACCGAAATCAGAGCTGACACTCTCAAGTACACGAAGATCCTGCTCCTGATTCAGCCGAAAAAATAAACGACTTAGAATCTGAAAATGATGCATTACGGCGCAAAATAGAGCAACTGGAAAGAGAACTCCATTCTAGATCTCCAACAAAAAAAACTAGATCCAAAAAAAACACCATACCCGGTCGATTTGATTCCACGGATTACAGCTTCATACCCGCTAATGAAAGTGACATTGAGAATACCCAGCTCGACATGAAGAAGTCCAAGTCCAGCCCACTTACACAGTCTGGGAAACCAAAAAGGCTAACTACTAGGCAGTGGGATCTAGCTCCTGAAGGTGCATATGACTAAACCTGGGGTTTCCTTGGGTGGGCACTTTATGATTCACGATTCTCGCTTTGTTTCATGTATATCCCCTTAACAGTTTTAAGAGATTTTAATATGGGTTCTTGGAAATATTGATAAATGGGGGACACTTCTATGCAGTTGTTTAGGGCTTCTGTGGATAATATTAGCTGCAGAACCGCTAGTAATTGATATCAAATATACTTATGTTTATTTGACAATGGTAATGCTATAAAATATAAGCTACAAATGAGCTTAGTGTATGAATGATCGTATATGAAGAACGCCTTGTTGATCCAAGTGACAAAAAGCAGAAAGTCATCAGGAGGTATATAATACAGTTTGTGAAAACAGGCTACCATCAATCTTCTGGTAACTCCTCTGTGTCAGATCCATCATCCCCAGCCTCAGCCTCGCCTTCTATCTCCATCTTGGTATCCTGTATAGATGGAGCGGGGATCGAATCATTATCCCCGCCTTCACCACTGGTGACAGTTGATAACTCCGACCCTGCTTTTGGGGAGAGCATGCGAGCCCTGAGGAGGTGCTGGAATATAGGGCTGGACGGCTTCAAAGTGTCCCCTGAGCCTGCTTCAGTCTCAAGTTCGCTGAGCCCACTCTCTTCTTCCGTGGTATCATGTATACTGGGATCAGGACCAGACGCGCTCTTATCCTCAATATTTTCTCCCTCTTTATCATCTTCCTCAGGGTTCTCTTCCTTCTCGTCCTCGTTATCATCACCTTCTTTTTCGTCTTCTTCTTCATTATCTTCCCCTTCTTTCTCCTCCTCTTCTTCGTTATTTTCTTCCTCCTTTTCTTCCTCATTGTTTTCATCCTCTTTTTCTACTTCGTCCTTCTCATCCTTATCATCTGCGTTGGTGTCTTCTTTATCTTTCTTCTCCTTGTTTTCATCGAGAGCAGCTTCAGTAGCAGGACCGTCGTCGACTTGCTCCTCCGCAGTCTGGCGCTCCGCCTGGGCTTGCTTGCCCTCATCCTCAGCAGCCTTTGCAGGTTTAGGTGCAGGGCGTGGGGCTTTGGCAGCAATAGCATCAGCCTTTTTCTGCACTTCTTTCCTAGTCACCCCTTTTGCCCGAGGTCTAGGTGCTGGTGCTTGAGCTGAAGTCGTGGCTGGAGGTGTTTCCGCCCCATCACCAGAATCACCCGCCATAAGCAAATGATCCACCTTCATTCGCTCCCGATTTTCCTCTCCAGCAACTTGCTCGACAAACTGTGGCAGCGTTTTCTCATATAGCTGGGCATATATATCAGCAACGAGATCGTCAAACATTCCCGACTTGATAACGGTTCCGTTCAACTTTTTCAGCTCCACGGCATCTCGCAACAGTTCAATTGTTGATATCTCTTCCTTAGCTGGATTTTGACACCAGGCATCCAAACGGCCAGAGTAGAGAGTGAAGTCATCGAGACTAACGCCCTTGAAGACGGCGTCTTCCTTCCCCTCTGGTACGTTACCTGTACGTCGAAGCAGCTACATACTTGTCAACCAATCTGATCACAAATACACTAGGCTTATCTGTTTACCTTTATATACGTAATGCACGTATCCTCCCATAGCTTGGGAAAGTTCAGATAATCATTGACTTTTCGTCTCACGCGACGGACTAACATATCCAGGTTTGCACGATCATCAAGCTGATCCAGAAGCTGTACGAAAAAGTAAACATATCGGGTAGTATAGACGAAATGTCTTCCGGCTCTCTCGTTTTCTGGCCGCCAGACTTGTACGGTCATGGTCTTCGTGAAGATATGTTGGGTAAGGTCGTTTTTCGCCGCAATTGCGGCCTCCTTATCTTTGGAGTCATCGTAAATTATATGGGCAGCCTATACAGCAAGATGAGCAGCGTGACCTAACATGACCAAACTGATATGAAAACAAACCCTTAAAACAATACGATGATGCCAATTGGACTTATCAGCATTTTGAAGCTGTTTAAGGACTCCCAGAATGAATGGTTTCCAGGATTCCAAGTCTGTAGCTGGTGATAACCCTTTAGCCCACGGGGTAGCAAGTAGTTTTTCGCTAGCTTCCTTCGGCTGTTGCATTATTAGTCCATGTAATTGATTAGTACTAGGAATTATGTCCCACTTACATCGAGGTCACCTCGTCGCACAAGTTTATGCGTGATTGAAACAAGCTTGAAATGGGGTTCTAGAATCGGCTCTGATGCTCGGCCATCTTTCTTTTTCGGGAGAGCATCAATAGCGTCTGTCAAAGAGTCTAAGATATCCGACGGTTCGATGGTTTTGTATCGTTCCTTCAGTGGATCATTACTGCAATACATTTTCCACAAACACTTGCTGAACATAAAATGGTTCCTAAGACAAATCATCAGCACAGTACCATTTAACGGCTAAAGCGAAATCGAGACTTACCTCCAGTTCATCGGATCTTCCTTAGTCGCTTTGTGGAAGAGAAAGCTCGCAAAGTACCATGCAGAAAACGGTTTCATAGCACTAAACGGCTTTCCCTCGTACATCCTCTGATCCGCATCACTGCTGAAGTGTCTCATGAATGGAGATACATCAAATGCGCCCATTGATAACGGCTCTCTTGTAGATGCATAGATCCGGAGGCCAAATTCCGCATACAAATCGGACACCTGTTTCTTTTCGTTAGGCTTCAAGTCACCCGTTTGTACAGCAGTTGCAACAGCCATAGAATACGCGTGAATAGCTCTGCGCTCTACAGTTGCAAGATCCTCCCTGTCATTGTTGAGCTTTTCTGCAGACCAAGCAACGTCCTCTTCAAGTCGTAGATCATATACTTGAGCAAGTTGATACCATGTTTCCCAGCGATCCTTTCCATGTTCCAAATCATGGCGGAACAGAGTAGCCGCGAGATCTAGGTCATCTGTTGGAGTGGGACCTATTTTCTTCAGAGATCGGAACTTGGCGAGCGCCGCAGAACCCAGGAAGGTGAACCAGCCTTTATCAGCAAGTTCGGCGCTCCTCGAATAAACGGGGATCATAGATAGTCCAGTGATCCCTTGTACACAACGGAAAAGATCCAGGGGGTTTATTGGAGTTTTCAAGAATCTAGACAGGATCCTCTTGTTGAGAGGAGTTGAAACCTCTGACTTGCCCATCAGCCCTATTTGCCTTTGTAACGCGTCGACAGTCGTTTTTAGATCCGATTTCAGATAATCTTTGATATCCATCCGCTTCGTCTGAGAAATAGTAAAGTCAACCAACTTCAGGGCTATTTCTTGATCGAGAGGCTCATATGGACAGCCATGTTCAAACGAAACGTCCAGATGAGGCGAGAATTTGAACTTGTATAAGTCGTACAGCACCTGTGCAAGGTCATCCTCGTAGACGTCATCAGTTTCTAATGTCAAGAGTTCATCCCTCATGAGTTTAACGAATAGATTCTTCGGATATTTGCAATAAGACCGAAGCCCGAGCGCGTTGTGAACAGACCGTAAGAAGTGTATGCGGTCATCCAAGGGGGTATCAAACAAGTCTTTGTTCTGACCAATACCTTCTCTTAAAAGTGCATACTGCACCATCCATATCTTCACAAATAAGCCGCGTAACTTCTCTTTGAACTGTTCCAGGGACTTTGCAGTCGAAGCAGGGCGGACGTCAGCCGGTGCTATTTGGCCAACACGAACCCCATCTTCGTAAAAAGCGAAAGATTGAAGTATCCTAGAAAGGCGGGCAAGGGAAGACATGGACATTTGCAGATGGGCCCAGTCAAAACACTCGAAAGAAACTTCCGAGTTGTTGACTACCCTCCTCATGACACTGGTAAGTATATCATCAGCTAGTTTTAGCCACTTCAGCAGGCTGAATCGCCTCTCTTTTACAGGAAGATCCATGCGAACTGGGCGACTCAGCTCCTGAACAACGGTTTCCAAGGCCTTGAAGTGGCAAGAGACGACCTTCGTTGGATAGTCGATGGAATCATATGCTTCGCGAAGACGGCGCCAGAGAAATAACTTGAGAGTCGCATCACCTTGGTTAAGAAACTCTATCAAATTCTGGACGGTTGTTGAAGGCTCGATGTTTTCAGATACGTTACCATTTTCGTCGGTATACCGAACTGCAGACGGGTTCAAGACCGGCTCTATAGTTTCAATTAGATGCACAGGGTCGTCTTTTCCGGAGCCAAATATGTCCGTGAAGAAGCTCATAGCCTTAAGGCGAGAAACCTCTTGGTCAATTGCAGTTGTGGATATCTCTGGCATGGTGGTATTATTTGCCAGGGTGATCACCGGGTCTCCCAACGATACTAGAGCTCGTCGAATATCACCAAGGCATGCCAAAACATAAACCCTATCCTGGTCATCTAGCATATTTTCGTGGAAAGTGGTGGCCCATAAATGTCTTAGGACAATGGCAGTCTGTCGATTGTCCACGGCACACAGGTCGAGGTAGTAGCTGATGTAACCGCGCGTAAGGGCCCTCCATCGGTTGAGTCTATCCGGTTGTAGAACGGCCGCTTCCTGGTCCTTTTCCTTCTGGCAGATAATCGAGTCATATATATCCAGGTGCAGTTCGTAAATGCTTTGCGAGATTTCCACGGCGGTAAGGTCATCCGGTGTGAAGGAGTATGATGTTTCGTGCGCATGCGAAAGGATCCGTTTCTCCAGGCTCAAGGCGAATTCTCTCATCCTGACATAGACAAATCCATCTAACCGTACCAATATCTGGGTAAGGGTGTCCTGAGTGCTTTGCGGCATCCGTTGCGTCGCATAGCTAGAGTCAGTGACAGTGGATATGTCGTGTCCCAGAGATTGTAGGTCGGGTTTGAGATACTTCTCAAGCCACTTGAAAGCAACCTCCTGCACGGTTAGATTGCTGCTATTGACGTTTTCTGCAAACTGCTCCAAGCCTTCATTGTCAACCAAATCTATCGCTTGTTCTGCCTTTGCGCCAACTTGTTTGGAGTGTTCAAGGAAGACACTGAGACCGGATTTCCTCACACCCTTTAAGCCATCCTGGGTATCTGCAAATATATCACTGTGCAATGCTATTTTTCCAAAGGCATCACTCCAGTTTTCAACTATGTACCTCAAGTCACGTACAGCCAAGGTTTCAGGAGTAATTTCTGTGGTGTCTGGATCGGATTCAATAGAAGCGAGCATCTGCTTTATTTGATCTATACTTCCAAGCTCCTCGACGCCGAATTTTGACAGAAGATCGTTGGCTGTGCTAAACATCCACTCATCGGCGTGTGTATAGATCTCGAGCCTATCTTCGAAATATCTTGTCTGGTCAAAAATCACTTCCTCTGGCTGGGCCTGTGTGTCGGCAATCGACTCTCGTGCCCTGATACGCTTGCTCTTCGTTCTTACTCCGTCTGTTGGTTCTTCATTGACTATTGAAGCTGAAGAGCGCTTCCTTGTCTGAGGACCAGGCCTTGCTTCTATATCATCTGTGGGCTCAGTCGATTTTTCACCTTCCTCTTTGTCTTTGTCGACAGCATTTTCATCTTCATTTTCTTTGGCTGTATCATCCCGAGCATCTTCGCCAGTATTTCTATTCACTTCCTCATCGCCTTTGGATTCTGGTTTTTCGTCGGCTTGGGCAGGGTCCTTCATTTCGGTATCCTTAGCAGTAGCTTCCTCAGTGCTCGCTTTAGATTTTGACTCTGCTTCGCCCATATCGGGGGAAGCAGAGCTTTTATGCTTGGACGGCCTTCGGCCTTGGATGATCGGGAGAGTTGCCGCAGGAGATGTCATCGTGACATCTGAGTCTGCAAGACAAATTTGCAGGTTCCCCTGTACTTCGACTGTGCCCTGATCAGAGTCATCCTTGCTTAGAAGCTCAAGGAGCTTTTCACCTAGAGCAGCCCAGGAGTTGGCGGAGGGGGTGACAGTAAGGCGTTTAATTTTAGGAAGAGCGAGTCCACAAGATATGGAGCCCCCGTTCAGCTGCTTCAAGGCAGAAGGGAGGTACGGAAATGGATCTATCTGCCGCTGCAAAAAATTGAGCAGAGCTTTCCTTGGTTGTTTCTGCGGCAGCTGTGCGAGTGATAGGGGGTCATGTAGAGCAGTGAAAAACTTCCGTAAATCGCCCACAGCACCGGCTTGCTCAATGCCTAGCTGTTCAAATCCATCGTCGATACCATCTCCGTTCCCTTCAAAGACACTCTCTAGACAGAATCTCGAGATACGGTGACTTCTGAGAGCATCTCCAACCCTAGCACACTTTCGCCACAGCTCAAGATCAGTGTCATCGCGCTCCAGAGCGTCCGCAAAGTGTCTAATGGCTGATTCGGTAGAAGGAGCTGTATCAGCTATGTCTCCGCCTTGCTCCCATGCGTATCGAACGGTGTCAAGCAAGAATTGGCCGTAATTCTTGTATGACAGGTAAAGCGTTTGCGGCAGCGCGCTAGCGGCGGTCTCGGTCTCATCCACGGCAGCAACCGAGACGGCCGACGGCTCATCAACTTCTTCTATAAAACCATCGTCTGATATATCCGCTCCGAGATCTGTGTATTGCGGGAGCTTGAATATCTCTGACTTGAAGAGTGCGTCATAAGCTTCTGCGGCTTCTTTGTAGTGCTTTGGCCCCAGCGAGTGGAGTTTGAGAGCAGTCTGGTATAGCTTGAGCGCCTCTTCTATCTGAATCTCGCGAGTGTCATCGATCTCTTCCTCTGGGGAGTCATCGGCCTCTATGTTCAGAGCTGCAAAAGTAGACATGGCCGGTTTTCCCCCCCGTGAGAGTCCACCGATATATAACAGGTCCAGCCCGGGGCGCCAGGGTATAAAACAGCAGCAAATACGAATCAGGCGCCGATGAAGAAGCTAGCCAGGGACAAGAAGGCCGTCCTCAACCACGAAAATCGCCCTCGTTGGAAGCTGTCGGCGGCGGTTGTTGGCTTGTAGAAGCGCAGGCCTGCGACGGGCGAAGATGAAGCTTGGGAGGTCGCGAACTTCCCGATCGGGCATGGCGCGAGATGCGTGGATGCGTAAGTTCACTAAGAAAAAGCACCGCCTCTTCGCTCGCCTGCAGGGAAGTAAATATGAACTAACAACGACCAACAACGACCTCCCAACAGCGTTCTTCCTGGCCGGCCGGCTTCATTATGCCGTTTAATTGACTCACTGCTCGAAGAGACAGAGGCATTCAATTCTGCTATTCAGGCGCTTCTCTTATCTTTTTCTCCCCTTTACTTAGAGCTGCTCCGTTTAGGGGTGGGCGACAGTGACTATGGTTTCGCCAGCTGTTCCAGAGTAAGTGTTGGCCAGCTGGCATGCGTTGCGCTATCACTTGCTATAATGCCTTTAAGGGGGCTACTACAGATGGTTTTTTGTTTACTGTATGCTAACAGGAATTGCATGAGACAGGATTATCGAGGAAGACGATGCGCTCTACTCGTCCATAGATGCCCGCACAGAATCTCTACAGAACCTGAGAGAACTCGGACCCCCAGATCTCGTTCACCTAGTGAAGCAGTCCAAATCTGCTGCGAACACCCAGGTTAGATGCGCCGTTCCTAGCTCATTGCAGCTATCCTTCAAAACGACCTTTTTTTGGGCTAACTGAGCGACGGTGGCCTAGACCGGAGTATATCACCATGTAACGGGAATAGATGCTTCTTCATCAGCCAGCTTAGCGGCCTACGTGAACACTCTCACCTACTCGCCGATTGACAAGCAACATAAAGTGGTTGCGGGAATATACTGGTATATACTATATATCCACAGTGAGAGTCCCTCCGGTGTCGATATAAAGCCGCTAACGTCCGGGATAGCTGCTACAATGCATTCTCTCATGTAGATATGAGGGTCGAGGTGAAGATCCCAGGCAGTCTGGAGAGCTATTGCATCGACGAGCGAGGGGACAAGCGTGTTGCAACTGAAGCGTTATGGCTGGAGACATTCGTGTGCGGCGTGCTAAGGTCCTACTCCTATGCGGACGACGGTAGCGGAGATGCCATCAAGAAGATCGTGGGCGTGAGACGGTTCAACCCGATCACCAATACGGAGATGGAACACAAATTCCTCGATGCCGCAGAAAGGCTCTTCTTCAACGGTTCGTTATCCTTCAAATATATGTCAGAAATTGTGTACAATTGGCTAACGGCGGACCTCCCCCTATTTTTCTAGGCCGACAACTTAGTTCCGACCCCGAAACCCAAGTCCCCAACACAGTCACCAACCATCTTACCTCCGGCCTATTAAAATACATCAATACCACGGGACGATATGTGTCTGGCATTAACCTGTTTGAGAAGCTCCGAGCACGAGAAGTAGAGGTGTCATCTCTTCTTGCACGGGTTCTGATATCAGCCGATGAAGAGGTGCAGGCTGTCCGATTGATGCATGATGCTCTCAAGGATATACCCATGGACTATGCTCTGCTAGACTGCCAGGCTGCATTTTGCCAGAGCAAAGGCGAGCATGAAATGGCGCTTGAATGCGCCAAACGCAGCGTGACTGCGGCACCGAGCGAGTTTAGCTCCTGGATCCGGCTGGCGGAAGTATATGTAAGCCTTGAGAAGTGGAATCTGGCACTGTTGACCCTGAACTCTTGTCCGATGTTCAACTACCAGGACCGAGACTCACCGCGGATGCCTCAGCCAACCCGCATCATCCTCCCTGTGCTTCCCGAAAGCCTGCTGGACGAGATTGATGAGGGTCAACCCAAGGAAGGCACTCCGCATGACATGGTGCATCCAACTCTACGAAAATTGCATGCAGGCAACTATCAGGGAACGTTTTTGAAGGCGTACAACCTGCTGACCAAGATTGCCGCAAGCATTGGATGGGATCAGCTGTTGAAGATCCGAAGCGAAGTGTTTGTCATGGAAGAAGAGTACAGGGTGGAACGACAGACGGCAACCCGACCAGGAAGCACTGCTCAAAATGCCAGCACAGTAGCCCTACATGACGGCGCAAGTCAGGCTACCAGGACAACCCAGGAAGACGACGACGACGACGACGACGACGATGATGATGGTGACGAGTCTGAGAATGAGCAGGAAGCCTCGGAGCAGAATGGAGGTAAAGAGGGCGAACCCAAGAAGTCGTCTGAGCACCATGGGATCGAGAAACCCAACCAGACAGTCGCCTCAGAGGTAGTCAAGTCCGGCAACGACGATGTGCGGTTTACTCTTTTTTTTTTTTTCACTTCCGACATATATTGACAAAGACGAAGATAAAGATGCTAACTTGAACCAATGTAGCAGGAAAACACCAATTCCACGTCCCAGTTCCACAAAAAACGTCTGTGCGAGCGCTGGCTGGACAACCTGTTCATGGTGCTGTACGAAGACCTACGGGTGTACACCATCTGGCGGTCTGAAATGGCTCAGTCCAGGCAACAGTCCCTTGACTACAAGAAATCCCCTACCGAGTGGGAGATACTCGGCGAACTGGCCGAGCGACTGCACCACCTGCCCGAGGCCATCGAGGCGTACAAGTACTGTCTGTCTGTGCGGTTCTCGCCCAAGGCCTTACGGGGTATATTGAAGATGTACGAGCGCCAGAACGATACGCGAGGCATGCTCAACGCCTTGATCAGGTTGATAGCCTGGCAGTACCGCTGGTACTCCGAGGTATGTCACCACCCAGTCCTTTTTCCAGACTGCCTTCCTACTTTATATTCAAGTGATGCTAACGTGAGGTAGTTCTCCCCGGACCTGCTGTACATCATCCGCAAGCTGATCGAGGAAGAGGGCGCGGTCAAAGTCCGCAGCATCGTGCAGGCGACCAACCTGCCTCAACCCATCCTCGATCTCACGCACCAATACTGCCAGCTGTGCGCGACGTTCCGAAGCAGCGGAAGCGACGGTTAGGCTGCTTATAAAATCATCTCTATAAACCTATATGGATTGTATCTATGTGTCTGTCTATCTGCATGAGTTACTTGCTCTATACATAGCATTAAATGCCATGATGTTCACTCTCATTGGCCGTGCAGCCTCAGGGCGCCAGAACGAACGAATAGTGACCTTATCCAGGTACTTACGGGCTAATAGTGTACGCATATCGAACGGCAGAGGAGTGGGGCGATATAAATATAAAAATTCGTTTCTTTACATCCGTCCCGTAGTTTTTATCGACTTTAGCGATGCCGTGAGTAGGACTCCTGACAAAGTTAGCCATCTACCATAGCACGTCTTCCAGTCTTAGCACTACAGAATATACGATGATACCCAGATGAAGCAATATCAAGCAAACGCAAAACACTCCTATTGTCCTCCTCTATCAGATACATTTCATAAAATCAACTTCAGGTTCAGTTTTCCCGTTCACGGTCTCATCCACGCCAGCGAGTTCTCACTCGTTGGCTTCTTCTTCTTCTTCTTCTTCTTCTTCTTCTTCTTCTTCTTCCTCTTCCTCTTCCTCAGCAGCAGCAGCTTTCTTGTCCGAGGCAGGCTTCTCAGCGACTTCATCGTCGTCTTCAGCATCGCCGTCCTTTTCTTCATCGTCGCCTTCAGCCTCTTCCTCCTCGTCCTTCTCTTCTTCTCCTTGCTCCTGCTCCTCTTCCTCCTCTATTTCCTCCTCATCCTCTTCGTCGTCGACAGGAGCCTTCTTAGCAGCTGCTGCTCGACCGGTCTTGCGTCGTTTAGCCGATGCTGCACCGCGTTAGCATCCATCACGTCCAAAGGAGCAGCATCCTATACAAAGTAAGAAGTCAACTCACGCTCTGGTTCCTCAGCAGGCTCCTCGTCTTCGTTCTCCTCCGACTCCTCTTCGCCTTCAAAGTCGGACTCGTCGTCGAACCTAGCACCAACGTCAGCATCAGCATCAGCATCAGCCTCGCCATCAACGACCGTCTCGCAAAACAGCTTAAGACGCGACTTACTCTTCCTCCTCTTCCTCGTCGCTCTGGTCGCTAGGAAGAGCCTGGAGCTCCTCTTCCTCACCGGCTTCTTGTCGTCTCTTGCGCGTGGTCATTGTGGATTGTCGTCGTCGTCGTCGTCGTCGTCAATTGAGGGATTGCGACAAAGTGAGTAAGTAGTTAGGTGGTTTATCTACAGCTATCGCCGTCAGCTCAGCCAGATCTATCACCAACTAGACAAGCAGGCCACGTCAACGTACCCGTGTATCAGCGTGTCGGAGGCTCAGGACGCAGAGTAGGAGGCAAGTTCAGGTCAGGCGAAAAGAGAGGAAAAGAGAGAGAAAAAGACGAAAAGCAGCGCGATCGAGGGCGAGGAAGGCCAGGTCGGGCGCCGTGACAGGACGTGACGCCGCATCCCCGTATCGGCCGTGACGCTGCCTGGTATTGAAAGCAACACTCGAGACGCTGCAGGCCGGCTCCAGCGCCCTGCGCCCAATGGCTGCGGCATGCTGGGCTGGTAAATATGATGCGTAACAAACGCCTGCAGGCCCGGCTGGGGTAGCATCAGGTATCTTCGGTGCTGCGGATGCGTGGGAGGATACTTGGAGCTACCAGGGGCTGTCACAGATACCGCACTGTAATCTATCCTGTAATCTCGATACCATTCATACGAACTATGCAAACAACAACAACAACAACAACAACGACAGACAAGTAAATAGAGAGTAGAGAGAAGCCTGGCTGGCCTCGTATGGTTCTAGGACGAGCTGGTGGAGGCGATGAGCTCTGGTATCAGCTGGTATCCCGGTAAGGAGCTGGCAGGCTGGCGGTCTTTTTCGCTGCCAGATGGACAGACACCTTGAGAGAGCGCGGGCATGAGGAGGGCCAGACGGCCAGCAACAGACCAGGCGGTTGCTCCATATCGGCTATTTACCCGTCAGTCTGTGTACGGGGTACTGGTTTTCGGATTTTTCATCCGTCGGTAGGCCGTTTGGTGGCTGGTGGGTGGTCTATCAATGTCTGTTTTGGTTGTATTTGATAGTTATGGTGAGAATAATTTAATTTGTGAAAAAAAAAAAAAAAAAAAAAAAAAAAAAAAAAAAAAATGCAAAAATACATTTTGATATCAGCACTTTCGTCCGATCCTGCGCCAGGGCAGCGTGACATGGAGTATTTGCATATATGTCATGTTTATAGAGTATATTAGAGCCATTCTAGGATGTAATTCACTCAATATACCGGAGAGTTCGGCGTGGTGGGTGTTTACTGCTGCGGTCACCCTAACCTACACATTGATCAACGGTGCTACATCTACAGACGACGGAGTTTCATCGGAGTCTACAGATGCCCCGGCCGACAGATACATGGACGTCTGGTACATCCCAGGGGTAATAACAGTGGTAAGGCAACGGCTATCAACGACATGTGTCGCCGAAGAACTTCCGTCCCTATTAGATGCTAGTTTAACCACATCTCCACGCCGTGCCTGACGCGTTCATGGAGACGAAAGGATAGGCTATTGCTTGACTTTGCCCACTGGGACGTTGCCACGGCCCTGCTCCAGTCTGATGGGACAGCTATTACATCAAGGATGCTACGTCGGTAGTCAAAATCTGGACCCTTGGAGACTAATCATGTATGGAGAAGTGGGATATCAAAACAGTCAATTAGGGTACCCTATCCAGCTATATACGTAAAACGCCAACACTATATTATGGCACATAATTGTAGACCCAGCAGATCAATAGATCAACAAACAGATCAAAGGCTAACTGTTGCCTCTCTCCCGGATCTTCTGCATGTGCATCTCGAACCGCTGCCGGCGCCAGCTGCAGCTCCCCCTGAAGTCACAGGACTGGCACTTCCAGGCCTGTGAGACGGGGATGGCGTGAGCAGGTCGTCTGCCGTGCCACCAGGCCAAGCCCTCGATCAGATAGGGGTAGAGCGAGTCCGGGTCGAAGAGGAACGAGCGTGTGCCTAGTTGTGTGTAGTTGTGGGTTTCTGACGGGGTGGGCGTGTTTGATCCTGATTCTGCATCTGCATCTGATCCTGCATCTGTTGGTCTCTCTTCTTTTGATTCTGTATCTCCTGGTTCCCTTTCTGTCTCTGTAGTTGGTGATGCTGATCTCGACCTGTCCTGAGCCATGTATGACACTGTTAGTATAGGTGACAGCAGCGTCACTTGTTTATCCCCTGCAGAAGTAGAAGCAGACGTAGAAGCAGACGTAGAAGTAGACGTTGATGGCCATAAAAAGGTCAGTCTGAGATTCTCCTTGAGTAGATCCCACAGATTCGCCAGCGAGTTATGATTCAGCAGCACCGTCAACGAATCCAGTCTATCACTGATGGAAGTAGCATCTCCATCCCCTTCTTCGCTGGGCCTTGACTGACTCCACGAACAAGCCTCGTTCTCAAAGTAATCGTCATTGATGCTGCCGACCTGCGCCAGAAAAGCGTCCGACAGCGGAGCATGAGGCTTCAACCCATACCTCTCCGCAATATCAAACACGCTGACATCCTCCGATTCCACCATGCGGGTCAAGAAATGGTAATAGAGCTGTAACTGGATGCGCGCAGGCCTAAAGGACGGCGAGTCAAGCGCAGGTAACCTCGTACCTCCCCTCGCCGCATCTCTCGTCTTCACTTCAGTAATATATATACCCCTTTCCTTGCTCAGCGGTATATTCTGCCCGACATGCTCGAAGGCCCATCCAGCACTCGTCTTATGCAGGCGTTTAGTCGAGCGCACCCCAGAGTACGTCGCGGGCAAGTGATGCAGGTCAGCATGCGTAGGGCGGTCGTGAGAGAGACAATCGACCACGCCCGTCACGATCTCCCCATCTAGCAATCCCCAGACCTCCATTTCGCGAGTTATACCGGTATCTCGCAGCGTGCGAAGGGCGTAAATCACGTTCCAGATGCGCAGGGCCCAGGCGTCTTCCTTGCTGAGCACGGTGACGGGCACAGAGGCGTGGACTTCGTTCTCGAGCTTCTGGTGGACGACTTTGCCGCGCTTCATGGCGGGTGTGGTCTGCTTAGGCCCGTGGAGGAGGGTATATGTGTACTGCAGCTCGCACCAGGCCGGGGAGACGAGGTCGGAGACAGACAGGCCTTTCATGGGAGGCCGTCTGAAGCGTTCGAGGGGTGTGCGAGAGTCTTCCTCTTCACGGACATCATCTCTGTCTCCATTGTTTTTATCTGCATTGTTTTTTTCGTCTGCGTCTCTGGGTTGGTCGAGTTGTATGGGGTTGCGGGCTGCAGAGCGCTGTTAGTTTTGGCAGGCCAGTCAGTACGAGTTGAGCAGATTGAGAGAGCGCCTTACCAGTCTGACGCTGATGTTTCTGGTCCGAGATGGTATCGTCGTCCGGGAGAAAGGTCTCCTCCAGCGCCAGACGCAGGTATTCATGGTCTTCTATGTCTGGCACGGCCTGGTGATGCTGGCTCGAAGCTGTGGTAGAGACAGGCTTATCGGCAACGGAGGCGATAAGGTCGGCGAGCAGGAGAGCCTCGTCGGGCGAGATGTCGAGCTCCGTCTCGCTGGCGGAGAGGCTGTGACTGTCATCGCTTGTCCAGCCCTCGAGGAAGTCGAAGGAGGAGGACGACATAGATAGCAGAGTTGAAGATGTTGAATGTAAGTGTGAAGGTGTTGCTGCCTGCCGAGCTGACTCGGATATTCTACCAACTCTATGCACCATCTATATAACCATCTATATACAACAATATATACGCAAAGAGATCTAAAAAGAATGCCTAAACAGGGACTTTCCCATGAACGACCTCTCTCTCCCTGACTTCCTTTGCGGCAACTTGGTTCAGCCAGGAGAGATAGGTCTGCCACCCCAGCGCGATAGTGCCCGCGAATATGGCTCTGAACGCGGGATCAATGTACAGAAACATAAATGCCGACACGGCCGGCCAGATCTTCGCGCTGTTGACGATGCTGACGGGCAGGGTTACTTGCAGGCGCTGGAGGGTTTCAGCCCAGCTGGCGCCGGACAGCAGCGACTGGGCGGAGAAGAAGTAGACGTTGAAGAGGGGCGCGTAGATGACCTGGGAGAGGACGACTTTGGTGGCTATCGAGAGGAACTTGGAGGCGTAGTTGAAGTTGTTGTGGACGAACATGAACCTGCATATCCTGTCAACGACTGCACTCTTCTCGTAGTATAATCTCGTAGTATGATCTCGTAGTATAATCTCGTAGTATAACTTTGTAGTATAATCTCGTAGGATAGTGGTCTTGGTAGAATGACAGAGAATGGACTCACCATGTATAGCTGGGAATGGCGACAAACCCGCCGATGCTGACATGCCGTAGAGTGCGCACCGGATCGTACTTTTCTAGAATCCCTTTCGACGTCTCTGTGTTATCCCCTGATTGCGTCTCTTGGTCATCGCGAGTGGTGTCGTTGGTGATCCAGGGGACGAGCAGCTGGGCGCTAAAGTCGGAGAGAAGGAAGATGACGACGGTGCTGAAGAACTGCGTCCAGTAGGGTCTTTTCTTCTGCTTGTCGCCGTACCAGAGCAGGGCGCGGCCGAGGGAGGAAGCCTGGATGCGCGAGAAGGCAGTCGATAATACCGTAGAAGATGAAGTTGAAGTCGGAGTTGCAGTGGTAGAGAGAGGAGTGGATGGCTTGGGCGTTGCGAGGGAGGACGAGGAGGTGAAGGCGCGCGAGTGACGGAGCGCAAGGAGACGGGGACGCAGCATCTCAAGAGCACCGCAGTAGTATCATCGTATCATCGTCGCCATCTATACAGTTCTGTCTGTTGTCTAGTGTTGTCTGGCTATGCTGTGGCTATCGTGGTGAAAAATCAACCGAAACGAGCCGAGTCAGCCGCATCGCCCCATGACTGACACGACACGACGCGAAGAGAAGAATAACAAGAGCAAGACCGAAAAAAGAACAAAAGTAGACGTAAAGTGAGTCGATTAAGATCAAACTACGTCCTCAGCCGTTCAGCTGGATATTATACACATAAAGTAGTTAAAAAGGAAATAACATGAAAACGCCTCTGACCAAACCCATGTCCGAGCCTCGATAGTGGTAGTAAAAGTGGTAAAAGCAAGAGAAAAAAACATGAACCCCCAGACCGTTGTGTCGTTAAAAAAGCTAGCAGGATGGCGCGAGTGCTCTAAGAACGCTCACCACGCAGACGGCGGGCGAGGTGGATGTCCTTCTGCTGGATGGTGACACGGCGGGCGTGGATGGCGCAGAGGTTGGTGTCTTCGAAGAGGGAGACGAGGTAGGCCTCGACGGACTCCTGGAGGGCGCCGATGGCGGAAGACTGGAAGCGCAGGTCGGTCTTGAAGTCCTGGGAGATTTCACGGACGAGGCGCTGGAAGGGGAGCTTGCGGATGAGCAGCTCGGTGGATTTCTGGTAGCGACGGATTTCACGCAGAGCGACGGTTCCTACTTGTTGTTAGCGGGAGACCATGCTGAATATGCTGCTGGAGGCCTACCTGGCTTGTAGCGACGGGACTTCTTGACACCGCCGGTGGTTGGGGCGGCCTTGCGAGCGGCCTTGGAAGCGATGTGCTTACGGGGGACCTTGCCACCGGTGGATTTACCTGGACAGGCAGACATGTCAGTCAGAGACGCGACAGAGCGAGGGTGAGAATAGACGTACGGGCAGTCTGCTTGGTTCTGGCCATTTTGAATAGATAGACTGAGTCTAAGACTTGAGAGTAGCCTGATGATGGAGTTGCTGAAGAGAAGATGCAGATGAAGAGAAGATGCAGATGAAGAGAAGATGTTGCTTCTTGATGTCTTGCTTGTGGATGAGAAGAAGAAGTTGAGGGGAAGAAGCGAAGGCGGCGATATTTGTAGGGGCGGCGGCTTGGCAGGAGGGCTTAGGTAAGCAGGGTTGATCTGGCCGCGCAGGGAGTTGATCCAGCAGGCAAAGCGAGCAGAACGCCTGATCCCGCAGTGATCGCGCGGTGAAAGACGCTGAGAAGCGCAGGAAGACCGAGATCACTCACCTGCGAGGCTTGAGATCAGCTTCTGCTGCCTGGTTCCTCCTCATCAGCGTCCTCGAGGCCTCGCTGGCTGTCTAGATCAGACTCTCTGCTGGTGATCTGCTTAGTGATCCTGATCCTCGACGCTGATTGGCTGATTCCCAGATCACGCCCGACGCGCCGAAAGTAGAAAAGCGACTTCATCTTCACAACTTCATCAACTTCAACTATCAACAACAACGACAACAACAACAACATCTTCTCTGCGACATCTCAGTCAGACATCAAGTCTACTCCTACTCTAAAGACTTCTACTTCTTCTTCTCATCATGACTGGACGTAAGTGTCTCTTCTCCTGACGCGACTGAGCGAGAGCTAACGGCCTGCAGGCGGCAAGGGAGGAAAGGGACTCGGCAAGGGCGGTGCCAAACGCCATCGCAAGATCCTCCGCGACAACATCCACGGCATCACCAAGCCTGCCATCCGCCGTCTCGCCCGCCGTGGTGGTGTCAAGCGTATCTCCGCCATGATCTACGGCGAGACCCGCAACGTGCTCAAGTCCTTCCTCGAGGGCGTCATCCGCGACGCCGTCACCTACACTGAACACGCCAAGCGCAAGACAGTCACCTCTCTCGACGTCGTCTACGCTCTCAAGCGCCAGGGCCGTAGGTTCTCTCTATCTATCTATCTCTGGACGTTATACTAACAGTTCCTAGGCACCCTTTATGGTTTCGGTGGTTAGACGCTTTTATGACTGGGTTTCTTTCTTCGGGGTTCATCGGTTAAGGGGTTCTGCTTTCTGTTCGCGTCTGTTCTGTTCTTAATGGAGTCTGTATCATATCATACTCATGACTGCTGGCATTGCCAATGAATACTTCATCAACTTCATCACCACCACCGCTTCTTCGGCTGCGTCCTCGCTTACCTGAGATTAAGTGAATTGCTTTTTCCGCTCGACTGGCTGGTCATCCCTCCATCCACGGCCACGGTGTAACGCAGGCATCCACACTCAACCTGCAACTTTCCTCTCTTCAATCTTTTCTCTGCATTCTTCTCTTTTGCCGCTGTTTTCTTGCCTGTTCTCATCTACCTCCTCTTCGTCCATCACCGGTGATGTCCCTCGTTTGATTGAGTCCCTCGCTCTTCTCGTCCACGCTCGTTTCACGCTGTTTCAGGAGCCGTTTCAACCTCGCCTTTGCGCACCTGGTGGAGTGCCGGGTGGCTCGCCTTTTTCTCTCTCGTCTTTTTAATCTAATTCCCTGTCCCGTCGCTGAGCAGACCAGACTTATAAGGCTCTCCTCGTCCGTCCTTCAGGCACAGTAAGTCAGTAAACATAGCCAGAGCCATCATGCAGCCCCGTTCGGCGTCGAGAGGCAGCCAGTACATCCGCGGCACTCGCCCCAGAGACCGCCAGCAGCAGCTCCAGCAACTCCCGCCCTTGCATACCAAACACCCCCAGGACGCACATGATGGCAAGCGATACTACAGTCCGCAGCAGCAGCAGCAG